TGAGAACCGCCCCTTTTATAAGCTGCTCCGGTGCCCCGGGTCAGCTGGAGACCGTCCAAAAGCCGGGTCTGCTGGGGGGGGGGCACACTAGCTGCGCCCCGCCCCCAGCAGACCAGGGACATGGGGAGCAAAGCCGCAGCGGCGGGGTGCCTCGCCTCTGAGGCTTTGCTCTGGCGCGGGACCCACTGCGGCTTTGCTCGCGGTGCCCCTGGTCTGCTGGAGACGGTCTCCAGCAGACCAGGGGCACCGGGAGCAGCTTTTCTCGCTCCGGAGGTCGAGGTGGCGGATTGCTGCCTGCAAGCTCCGGGGCGAGAAAGCCCCGTTCTTAAGTGCGGATCCGACATAAGTCGGATCTGCGTAAGTCGGGGACTGCCTGTAAAGCTTTTTGCACAGGCACTGACCCCGGGACTGGAGCGACAGGGTCTAACTTTCCAGTGTGTTAGGGGGTGCTCAACCCCTGGCACAGCCACAGGTCCTGTCCCTACTCCATCTTTCCCCCAAAACTGCCACCACTTCCTACCCTCTCCCCTGAGTCTGCCATGCCCTTGTTCCCCTCTGCTGGCAACTGAGAGGTGGTGGAGGCAGGAGAGGGGAGCTGATGATGTATAATTGTGGCTCTCTGGTACTGTACATTGGTTATATTCTGGATCCTTCTCAGGCTCAGGTTGTCCACCACTGCTTTAGATAAACAGCGTGATCAATCAGGGGACTGAGCAGATTAGTGATCATATAGGAAGGGTGAAGTAGCAAGTCAGTAGTTTTGACAAATGAAAAGCAATTTGGAACTGGTATCAAAGATGGGTGTATTCAGTACTAAATACTTTAACATTTGGATTGCGATGTTAAATGCACAAAATTGAGAATTCTAATTTACGATTCTCTCAGTACACATAGTTCATCTCATGCAACATGACAGATGCAATTGTCAAGTTTTATTTTTTCTTTCCTCCACTCAGAAATAATTTACAAGCCTCAAATGTTGGAATATTTTTTTAAAGAAAGGAATTAGACATACAGACTAGGTTGCTGAAAAATGGATGGTTTTGTGATTAAGGCCCCAAACTAGACTCAGAAGACTATTGGTGCAGGACGTTATGGTGCAGGAGGTGGGGGGCGCTGCAGCCAGCATTTCCGTGCTCAGAAGTCAGCCCCACTGCCAACCCATCACCGGTTTTGCCAGCTCCAGACCTCTGGGCAGCCCCCACAGCTACCCACTGGCCTCACTA